TCTCTGTCCCTCTTTCTCTGTCAGTGTGTGTCTCTCTCTGTCAGTGTCTCTGTCCCTCTCTTTCTGTCAGTGTCTCCCTCTCTCTGTCAGTGTGTCTGTCTCTCTCCCTCTGTCAGTGTCTCCGTCTCCCTCTCTTTCAGTGTCTCTGTCCCTCTTTCTTTGTCAGTGTCCCTCTCTCTCTGTCAGTGTCTCTGTCCCTCTCTTTCTGTCAGTGTCTCCCTCTCTCTCTCTGTCAATGTGTCTGTCTCTCTCCCTCTGTCAGTGTATCCCTCTCTCTCTCTGTCAGTTTCTTCCCCTCTCTCTCTGTCAGTGTGTCTGTCTCTCTCCCTCTGTCAGTGTCTCTCTCTCTCTCTTTCAGTGTCTCTCTCTGTCATTGTCTATCTCTCTGTCAGTGTTCCCCTCTCTCTCTCTGTCAGTGTCTCTGTCTCTCTGTCTCAGTCAGTGTCTCTGTCTCTCTCTTTCTCGGTCAGTGTCTCCTTCTCTCTCTCTCTGTCAGTGTCTCTTTCTCTCTCTCTCTCTCTGTCAGTGTCCCTCTCTCTCTCTCTGTCAGTGTCTCTGTCTTTCTCTCTCTGTCAGCGTCCCTCTCTCTCTTTCTCTCTCTCTGTCAGTGTCCCTCACTCTCTGTCAGTGTCTCCGTCTCTCTCTCTCTCTCTCTGTCAGTGTCCCTCTCTCTCTTTTTCTCTCTCTGTCAGTGTCCCTCGCTCTCTCTGTCAGTGTCTCCATCTCTCTCTCTCTCTCAGTCAGTGTCTTCGTCTCTCTCTCTGTCAGTGTCTCCGTCTCTCTCTCTCTGTCAGTGTCTCCGTCTCTCTCTCTCTGTCAGTGTCTCCGTCTCTCTCTCTCTGTCAGTGTCTCCGTCTCTCTCTCTCTGTCAGTGTCTCCGTCTCTTCTGCTGCCTCCGCTCTCTCTCTCTGTCAGTGTTCTATCTCTCTCTCTGTCGTGCTTCCTGCCTCTCTCTCTCTTCTGTCAGTGTATCCGCTCTCTGTCAGTGTATCCGCTCTCTCTCTGTCAGTGTCCCTCTCTGTCAGTGTCCTCTCTCTGTCAGTGTTCTGCTCCTCTCTCTGTCAGTGTTCCTCCGTTTCTCTGTTGCACTTCCGCTTTCTCTCTGTCAGTGTCTCCGTCTCTCTCTCTGTCAGTGTCTCTGTCTCTCTCTCTCTGTCAGTGTCTCCGTCTCTCTCTGTCAGTGTCTCCGTCTCTCTCTCTGTCAGTGTCTCCGTCTCTCTCTCTCTGTCAGTGTCTCCGTCTCTCTCTCTCTGTCAGTGTCTCCGTCTCTCTCTCTGTCAGTGTCTCCGTCTCTCTCTGTCTGTCAGTGTCTCCGTCTCTCTCTGTGTCAGTGTCCCCCGGCCCTCTCTGTTGACCCTTGTCTCCTGTAGGAAGCGGCTGGGCGGTGTGTTAGGAAATCCCAGTATTAGGAATGTCACTGTCCCGGACACAGCATGGGAGGGACACCGCGCAGGCTTCCTGGGGTCACCCGATGTCACGCGCCATTAATTACCTCTTACATACATCCACCAGTCCTAGAGGTTACAGTCTCTGTATAAACAGTGCCAGTCCTAGAGGTAACAGACTCTGTATAAACTGTACCAGTTTTAGCAGTAACAGGCTATGTATAATCTGTACCAGTCCTAGCGGTAACAGGCTCTGGCTAATCTGTACCAGTCCTAGCGGTAACAGGCTCTGGATAATCTGTACCAGTCCTAGAGGTAACAGGCTCTGGATAATCTGTACCAGTCCTAGCGGTAACAGGCTCTGGATAATCTGTACCAGTCCTAGAGGTTGCAGACTCTGTATAATCTGTACCACTCCTAGCGGTAACAGACTCTGTATAATCTGTACCAGTCCTAGCGGTAACAGACTGCGTTTTAACTGTACCAGTCCTAGAGGTAACAGACTGCGTAGTAACTGTACCAGTCCTAGAGGTAACAGACTCTGTATAAACTGTACCAGTCCTAAAGGTAACAGACTCTGTATAAACTGTACCAGTCCTAGAGGTAACAGACTCTGTATAATCTGTACCACTCCTAGCGGTTACATACTTTGTATAATCTGTACCAGTCCTAGAGGTAACAGACTCTGTATAATCTGTACCAGTCCTAGAGGTGGCTCAGACTCTGTATACCCACCAGTCCTAGAGGTAACAGACTGTGGCACCTGTACCAGTCCCAGGAGTGTTACAGATGCTGTGTATAATCTGTACCAGTCCTAGAGGTACCAGACTCTATATAATCTGTACCAGTCCTGGAGGTAACAGGCTCTGTATAAACTGTACCAGTCCTAGAGGTAACAGACACTGTATAATCTGTACCAGTCCTGGAGGTTGCAGACTCTGTATAATCTGTACCACTCCTAGTGGTAACAGACTCTGTATAATCTGTACCAGTCCTAGAGGTAACAGACTGCGTATTAACTGTACCAGTCCTAGAGGTAACAGACTGCGTATTAACTGTACCAGTCCTAGAGGTAACAGACTCTGTATAATCTGTACCAGTCCTAGAGGTTACAGATGCTGTATAATCTGTACCAGTCCTAGAGGTACCAGACTATATATAATCTGTACCAGTCCTGGAGGTAACAGGCTCTGTATAAACTGTACCAGTCCTAGAGGTAACAGACACTGTATAATCTGTACCAGTCCTGGAGGTTGCAGACTCTGTATAATCTGTACCACTCCTAGCGGTAACAGACTCTGTATAATCTGTACCAGTCCTAGAGGTAACAGACTGCGTATTAACTGTACCAGTCCTAGAGGTAACAGACTGCGTATTAACTGTACCAGTCCTAGAGGTAACAGACTGCGTATAAACTGTACCAGTCCTAGAGGTAACAGACTCTGTATAAACTGTACCAGTCCTAGAGGTAACATGTTCTGTATAATCTGTACCAGTCCTAGCGGTTACATACTTTGTATAATCTGTACCAGTCCTAGAGGTAACAGACTCTGTTTAAACTGTGCTAGTCCTAGAGGTAACAGACTCCGTATAATCTGTACCAGTCCTAGAGGTAACAGACTCTGTATAATCTGTACCAGACCTAGAGGTTGCAGACTGTATAATCTGTACCAGTCCTAGAGGTAACAGACTCTGTATAATCTGTACCAGTCCTACAGGTAACAGACTCTGTATAATCTGTACCAGACCTAGAGGTTGCAGACTGTATAATCTGTACCAGTCCTAGAGGTAGCAGACAGCGTAGTAACTGTACCAGTCCTAGAGGTAACATACTCTGTATAATCTGTTCCAGTCCTAGAGGTAACATACTCTGTATAATCTGTACCAGTCCTAGAGGTAACAGACTCTGTATAATCTGTACCAGTCCTAGAGGTACCAGACTCTGTATAACCTGTACCAGTCCTAGAGGTAACAGACTCTGTATAATCTGTACCAGTCTTAGAGGTTACAGATGCTGTATAATCTGTACCAGTCCTAGAGGTACCAGACTCTATATAATCTGTACCAGTCCTAGAGGTAACAGACTCTGTATAATCTGTACCAGTCCTGGAGGTAACAGGCTCTGTATAATCTGTACCAGTCCTAGAGGTAACAGACACTGTATAATCTGTACCAGTCCTGGAGGTAACAGACTCTGTATAATCTGTACCAGTCCTAGAGGTAACAGACTCTGTATAATCTGTACCAGTCCTAGAGGTAACAGACTCTGTATAATCTGTACCAGTCCTAGAGGTAACAGACTCTGTATAATCTGTACCAGTCCTGGAGGTAACAGACTCTGTATAATCTGTACCAGTCCTGGAGGTAACAGACTCTGTATAATCTGTACCAGTCCTAGAGGTAACAGACTCTGTATAATCTGTACCAGTCCTAGAGGTAACAGACTCTGTATAATCTGTACCAGTCCTAGAGGTAACAGACTCTGTATAATCTGTACCAGTCCTGGAGGTAACAGACTCTGTATAATCTGTACCAGTCCTGGAGGTAACAGACTCTGTATAATCTGTACCAGTCCTAGAGGTAACAGACTCTGTATAATCTGTACCAGTCCTGGAGGTAACAGACTCTGTATAATCTGTACCAGTCCTAGAGGTAACAGACACTGTATAATCTGTACCAGTCCTAGAGGTAACAGACTCTGTATAATCTGTACCAGTCCTAGAGGTAACAGACTCTGTATAATCTGTACCAGTCCTGGAGGTAACAGACTCTGTATAATCTGTACCAGTCCTGGAGGTAACAGACTCTGTATAAACTGTACCAGTCCTAGCGGTAACATACTCTGTATAATCTATACCAGTCCTAGAGGTAACAGACTCTGTATAATCTGTACCACTCCTAGCGGTAACAGACTCAGTATAATCTGTTCCAGTCCTAGAGGTAACAGACTCAGTATAATCTGTTCCAGTCCTAGAGGTAACAGGCTCTGTATAATCTGTACCAGTCCTAGAGGTAACAGACACTGTATAATCTGTACCAGTCCTGGAGGTAACAGGCTCTGTATAATCTATACCAGTCCTAGCGGTAACAGGCTCTGTATAAACTGTACCAGTCCTAGAGGTAACAGACTCTGTATAATCTATACCAGTCCTAGAGGTAACAGACTCTGTATAATCTGTACCAGTCCTAGAGGTGTGAGTGTGCTATGAGAACTTGCTCACACAGTAGATCCCTCTGCTGTGCTGGTGCAGGAAGCCCGGCGCTGGGTGTGGGATATGGGGTCAGTCCTGGAATCCTTGGTCAAATTACCTCATTTTACAAAGCGCTAGTGTGGGAGGAATGGTACTGTCTCTGTTATTCCTGTGTCCTACACCAGTATTGTCAGTGCACATCTGAAATATACCCAGCTTAGTCAGTGCACATCTGAAATATACCCAGCTTAGCCACTACACCTCCATCCTGCCCTGCAGCTCTCTCTGCTATTCCTGTACTGACCCCACACACAGTTCTGTCACTACACCTCCATCCTGCCCTGCAGCTCTCTCTGCTATTCCTGTACTGACCCCACACACAGCTCTGTCACTACACCTCCATCCTGCCCTGCAGCTCTCTCTGTTATTCCTGTACTGACCCCACACACAGCTCTGTCACTGCACCTCCATCCTGCCCTGCAGCTCTCTCTGCTGTTCCTGTACTGACCCCACACACAGCTCTGTCACTGCACCTCCATCCTGCCCTGCAGCTCTCTCTGCTATTCCTGTACTGACCCCACACACAGCTCTGTCACTACACCTCCATCCTGCCCTGCAGCTCTCTCTGCTATTCCTGTACTGACCCCACACACAGCTGTCACTACACCTCCATCCTGCCCTGCAGCTCTCTCTGCTGTTCCTGTACTGACCCCACACACAGCTCTGTCACTACACCTCCATCCTGCCCTGCAGCTCTCTCTGCTATTCCTGTACTGACCCCACACACAGCTCTGTCACTACATCTTCATCCTGCCCTGCAGCTCTCTCTGCTGTTCCTGTACTGACCCCACACACAGCTCTGTCACTGCACCTCCATCCTGCCCTGCAGCTCTCTCTGCTATTCCTGTACTGACCCCACACACAGCTCTGTCACTGCACCTCCATCCTGCCCTGCAGCTCTCTCTGCTATTCCTGTACTGACCCCACACACAGCTCTGTCACTGCACCTCCATCCTGCCCTGCAGCTCACTCTGCTATTCCTGTACTGACCCCACACACAGCTCTGTCACTACACCTCCATCCTGCCCTGCAGCTCTCTCTGCTATTCCTGTACTGACCCCACACACAGCTCTGTCACTGCACCTCCATCCTGCCCTGCAGCTCTCTCTGCTATTCCTGTACTGACCCCACACACAGCTTTGTCACTGCACCTCCATCCTGCCCTGCAGCTCTCTCTGCTATTCCTGTACTGACCCCACACACAGCTGTCACTACACCTCCATCCTGCCCTGCAGCTCTCTGCTATTCCTGTACTGACCCCACACACAGCTCTGCTCACTACACCGCCATCCTGCCCTGCAGCTCTCTCTGCTATTCCTGTACTGACCCCACACACAGCTCTGTCACTACACCTCCATCCTACCCTGCAGCTCTCTCTGCTATTCCTGTACTGACCCCACACACAGCTCTGTCACTACACCTCCATCCTGCCCTGCAGCTCTCTCTGCTATTCCTGTACTGACCCCACACACAGCTCTGTCACTACACCTCCATCCTGCCCTGCAGCTCTCTCTGCTATTCCTGTACTGACCCACACACAGCTCTGTCACTACACCTCCATCCTGCCCTGCAGCTCTCTCTGCTATTCCTGTACTGACCCCACACACAGCTCTGTCACTACACCTCCATCCTGCCCTGCAGCTCTCTCTGCTATTCCTGTACTGACCCCACACACAGCTCTGTCACTACACCTCCATCCTGCCCTGCAGCTCTCTCTGCTATTCCTGTACTGACCCCACACACAGCTCTGTCACTGCACCTCCATCCTGCCCTGCAGCTCTCTCTGCTATTCCTGTACTGACCCCACACACAGCTCTGTCACTGCACCTCCATCCTGCCTGCAGCTCTCTGCTATTCCTGTACTGACCCCACACACAGCTCTGTCACTGCACCTCCATCCTGCCCTGCAGCTTTCTCTACTATTCCTGTACTGACCCCACACACAGCTCTGTCACTGCACCTCCATCCTGCCCTGCAGCTTTCTCTACTATTCCTGTACTGACCCCCACACACAGCTCTGTCACTACACCTCCAGCAGCTGGGGCTGTCGTCCAGAGACAAGCCCCCTGGTATGGATGGTGCAGATGGGACCGAGGTCTCTGCACCAACCCTACAGGGATGCTGGGCAGCATGCCCAGATTCCCAAATGCGGAATCCCGGCCAAGATGAGGATGTCAGCAGCTGTCTCCCCCAAGAGCAGGATGAGAGCCTGGGAGAAGAGGGTGTCGTCCCTCCTAAACCACAGCGGGAATGCCAGGGAGAGGGGGTTGTTGATTCCTCTCTCCTGCAACCAATTCCCAACCAAGTTCCGGGTACAGTGGAGGGAACTACGGCCTCCCATGACACCTTCTCAGCGGAAGAGCTGACACCCGGGCAGAGTGCTGCTGGCCTCTGCCCTACCTGTCCCTTTGTTCTGGGGCCTGACGGCCCACCAACCAACCCAGCTGAATTGCTGGACTCTGCCACCAGGCAAAGATAAGGGAAACTGCGCCCTCGGTCCCCAGAGACAACTTGGTCCAACCAGGGGGGAGTGCATCCAGATTGTTTCCCCGGGGAACACTGGATGTACAAATGGGCACTTGTGGCAAGAGGCCATCTGGACAACTACGCCTCTTGGGAAAGGCCACCAGACCCAGACCGATTGGAGGTTTGGGGTCTGGATAGTCTCCCCGGGAGGGGTAAGATATGTGACAAACTCCCCTTTCCAAGTGAGTTTGACATGAGCTCCTGGAGGAGCCTGCTTGCCAGCCTCCTGCCCACAGACTATGGACCCTGTAAAATGTAATGTAAAAGTCTCCATTTGTGTATTTGGACTGTATGGTTCGGGAACCCAACAGCCGCATAAACCGGAGACCACCCTGGAGCTTGTTAAGCCTAATTGCTACTTTGTAGCAATTTCCACCACAGTGTTCTAAGTGTTTGTCTGGGTGGCAGCATTTCCTATGGACGACCACAAGGTGGCGGCCATCTTGTTCGCATGAGTTTGGTCGTTGAGTTCATGGAACTATTTTCAGACACTGAAACTCCCGAATACAGCTGGATTTCCATGATCGCCTGCGTTCGGTTGTACAACACTTAGAAAGACACTGTTCGGTGGAAACGTTCCCATGAACAAGGGAAACAAGCTTCAGGTTAAGAATACTGGCTATATTCGGTAGTTTGTTTTGGTTTTAAACTACGAACTAGACCGACTGCAACTGTTTTGGGCATGGGACCATGCGTGCAGTCGATCACATTATGACTTCCAGGAAATTCCTGAACCCCTGAACCGATCTGGGTGATTTTTGGTATCCAGCCAGGGGTACAGGGAGCTCCGTTACACCTCCTCCCTCACATACTGGATGGAAAGGAGGACATTGCAGGCTGCATAGTCAGTGGTGTATCCTGGTTTTGTGCTGCCCTAGGCTGCCCTTCTCGTTTCCCTGGGGACCAGTGGGGCTGCTGGGCGTCCGGCCGGTGACTGCAGGCGGCGAGGGAGCACTGATCCTCCTGTTCAGCTCCCTCGTGCGCCGCAGAGTGATGCCGGAAGCCAGAATATGACGTCACTGATTAGTCACTGATTAGTGAGCTCTCTGTGCCTGCGCCGCCTGCCTGGATTGTCAGTTAGCCGCCCGCCTGCCTGGACTGTTAGCCGCCAGGCTAACAAGACATTTGCCTGGGCATTTGAGGGTGGCTTTTTATTTTTTACCGCCCAAGGCAAATGCCTTGTTTACTATTTGTGGGCATTTTTCTCATTTATAACATTATGGTTACTTTCTGGAGGCATTTTTGGAAGCTGCAGATATCACCAGGTTCTTTAAACGGACACTCTGGACACCAACTTTGTTACAATAAAGTTGTTATGGTGTGTGGTGGATTAGGGTGCAGTCTAACCTTAAAGGGAAACTATAGCTGAAACCTCCTTCTGTCACTTACCTTAGACCACCTTCTCTCCTCCCCCGTGACATCAGTCGGTGGGGGAGACCTAATGTGCATGCACGACAATGGCCATGCTTGCATTAGGATTTCCCTATAGGGAAGCATTATTCAATGCTTTCTTATGGGGTTTTTGGTGATGCTGGATGCCCCCATCCAAAAATCACCTAACAGTCCAGAAGTCCCTCTTGTGGCTGTCTGGTTGGCATGTTCAGAGCTAAAGACCTGGGTCAATGAGCTGAAGAGGTCTGGGTGCCTATAGTGTCCCTTTGATGAGTTAAACCATTCTAAACACTTAAACCTTAAAGTGTGAAAAACGGTGTGTGATCGCTCTGCCCCTCCACTTCTTCTGATGGTCCAAGGGTTCCTGAGACTGGCGCTCTCTGTCTCTCATAGCTCGCCATTATTGGATCTTTTTAACCCACATTTCTCAGTGCGGACCTCTGATTGAAACCTCAGACCTGCGTAGGAGAGAAGGGACGGAGCGATGAGGATTGGTCCTGTAAGAAAGGTGTTTGGAGATAACTAATATAAATTACAGCCATTCATAAATAGCCCCTCTGATGTCATTGACGCCAGAGCTGGTAATTGTCTGATATCTGAAGTGACTGACAGCCCGAGTCTATTTTTCTGTGTCTGTCTGTTTAATACCATGTGTCTGTTTGTCTGTCAGTCTTTTAACCTGCATCTGTCTGTCTGAGTTTATTTTTCTGTATCTGTCAGTTTCTATGTCTCTGTGTCTGTCTGGGTCTATTTCCCTGTATCTGTCTGTGTGTCTGAGCTTTTCTGTCTGTTTTCTGTTTCTGTCTGTCTATTTCCCTGTATTTGTCTGCCTGATTTTATGTCTCTGTATCAGTTACACACTATGGCGGCAGTGATATTGAGACATATTGTATCTACAGGCCTCTCATTGTGAAGTCAGTGGGAGGTCAGTCTGTCACACTTCGCAGCCTGTCACACGGACGCCTTGCTGTCTGTCCCCCGTCATCCCCCTTTTGTGTTGTGACAGCACTGGCAGGCGAGAGATGTTTTTACAGACTGTGGCTGATATGGTAGAGGAGGGGGTCATATCCTGAAATGGAGGAACAGAGAACCATATTTAAAAAATGGCCGAGAAACGCACTGTTTGTGTGACCTCATCCTGACGTTATTTTAGCTCAGTGTGACAACATACTAACATGTTACTTTAGCTCAGTGTGACATCATACTAACACATTACTTTAGCTCAGTGTGACATCATACTAACACATTACTTTAGCTCAGTGTGACATCATACTAACACGTTACTTTAGCTCAGTGTGACACCATACTGATGTTATTTTAGCTCAGTGTGACATCATATTGACATCATATTGACAGGTTATTTTAGCTCAGTGTGACATCATACTGACATTATTTTAGCTCAATGTGACATCATACTAACACGTTACTTTAGCTCAGTGTGACACCATACTGATGTTATTTTAGCTCAGTGTGACATCATACTGATGTTATTTTAGCTCAGTGTGACATCATACTGACATTACTTTAGCTCAGTGTGACATCATACTAACACGTTACTTTAGCTCAGTGTGACACCATACTGATGTTATTTTAGCTCAGTGTGACATCATATTGACATCATATTGACAGGTTATTTTAGCTCAGTGTGACATCATACTGACATTATTTTAGCTCAATGTGACATCATACTAACACATTACTTTAGCTCAGAGTGACATCATACTGATGTTATTTTAGCTCAGTGTGACACCATACTGATGTTATTTTAGCTCAGTGTGACATCATACTGACACGTTATTTTAGCTCAGTGTGACACCATACTGACACGTTATTTTAGCTCAATGTGACACCATACTGACACGTTATTTTAGCTCAGTGTGACATCATACTAACGTTATTTTAGCTCAGTGTGACATCATACTGACACGTTATTTTAGCTCAGTGTGACATCATAATGACACGTTATTTTAGCTCAGTGTGACATCATACTAACGTTATTTTAGCTCAGTGTGACACCCACCCCGACTATTACCTTAGAGCACCTAGGCTGGGATACCCCTGAGGCATTTAAGAAGGAGATCTGGGAGGATCCGACCCTTCAGAAGTATAGGGCCAAAGCAGACACCCAGGAGAGGGGAGCAGATGGGGAACGCTATGAGTGGGTGGGGGATAGATTATACAGGATTCCTCAGAAATCTACAGCAGGTAGGGCCCCTTTGCAGAAACGACAGCTGGTAGTACCCAAGAAATATCAGCTGGAGATTCTGCGAAACGGGCATGATGTCCTCCTAGCAGGACATCTAGGGATACGCCGCATGGCCCATAGGATTACCCAAAATTTCTTTTGGCCAAGTTTTAACCCCTTGTGGACCGATGACTGTTCAGGACCGTCATCAGAAACATCCCCTTGAGGACCAATGATGGTCCTGAACCGTCATAACGGTCTTGGGGTACTTACCT